AAGGTGTTGATTGCTTGAGCGACTCCTGCCATTCGCTTGCGCTTTTAAATCTTCAAACCTGAAAGCTTAGTTGTTATGAGGATATCCTTTAATGACTTCCGTTTGCGATGTGATATTAAGGGTTAGTTTTATGGTGTCATTTCCCCATCTGTATGTTCTCGAGGTTTGGCAAGGCCAAATGAGATTGTGTTACAAAAGGTGATATTTTCATGTGTGCGCGCTATTTTTTTTTTTAAGTATCAGTCTCTCCCGCAGAAAGTAACTCCAGAGATGCGTTTTTCAAAACCTTACTCTAGGTATTCTCTATTCTTTGAGCATATTTGAAACTCTGTACGTTTTTTAATAAGCGTTGAGCGTGACGAGTTTGGTGTTAGGAGGCGTAAAGCTTCTCCTTCCGCGAATCCCGTATTCACGCCTTTAAGTGTATGACATGGAAAATAGTTCGTGTATTAGAAGGTCGCTGTCTCTTTGGAATGCGTTTGCATGTCAAGGGACGATTCCTAGTTAAATAACTCGCCACTTTGATATTATTCACACAGCCATCGGCTGTGTGTGAAACTGCTGCCAAATGAATAGATTCTCGGGCAAGACCGCAGTTTCGATTCTTTCTGAATCTCTTCAATTGCCTCCTAACTACGAATTTGTCACGGAGGAAAAACAGGAGTCGCACAGGCCCGCAAACACTTTTTAACTTTCGAAGGAATGGCAACAGACAGTGAATTTCCATTAAATTCCACGTGCTCCAATTCTTGCTGCTACCAGAGATTTTCACTCGACCACGACAGGATGCAAATGACTTATTTTTCGTTTTACGACCATGATGCAACGCAATCAGAGTGCGCACACCGCCTGGGTTAAAACGATGAAAAGTACGAACCACGTTTAAGTTCGGGTACGACTCAGAGTCATTTTTGCCCGAGCCATAAGGCGGGAGTGAAAATGAGCTGTGTGGAGGTCCCAAAACATATTTATACCCAAGAACATAAACTTTATTACTATAATTATCACTCTGAAGGGTATTGAGGACATCTGAACAAAATGACAACTAAACAGTCTGAACGATCGCGCAAGCTCATACATGTTAAATGGTTTTCATTTTTCTTCAAAGAAAATCCTGTTCATCCGAGGTACAGGATAAAAGTAATGATCGAGTCCAAATGGGACATTTATAACACTTCTCATGATAATATTATATTTATACAGGGCGATTTCCACTGATGTTAAATTGCGCTTTGCGATGTAAATTATATAAATCTAATTAAAATAAAATAAACAAGGACAATTTTAATTTACAAGGATGATGCCTGAAAGGTTAAATATACAACAGGTAAAACGTGTGAATGAAGTGAAATATTAAGCTTCTCTAGACAGATAAGTCAGAACTTTCTCCCAAGAATATTAATATCATCAAACTTAAACTGTGAAAAGGTTTATTAGGTAAATAGATAAATGAAGTAAAAAATATCTGATTTTATAAAAACTTTTTTTTTTTTAAATCAAATCTTGACTTTTTTCTTGAAAACATTTAGATCGTCACAAGGTCTTACGTCAATTTGTGGGGTACGTCTTGATGCACAAAAGGGCTAAAAATTGGGGTAACCAGAATAAATCCATAAACGATCAGAAAACCTAGATCGATGACATTTAGGCCTAAAAACCTTAAGATCTTTATACTGAACCAGTATCAAAATAGACATCATTAACAATGTGTTGCTAACACCGGATACCCACAAAGCTTTGTTTGTAAGTTTCACGAGGTCTTCTTTGGGCTCCGGATTGGTTTAATCTCAATGAAATGGAATCAGTTATGTTTCTTGCTGAAGGAGAGTAGATATAGGTAAAGAAAAGATCCTCGCAGGAAGCTAGCGAACATACTTGCGGCAATGCAAGAAAAGTTAATTGTGATAATTTTCTATCACTGTTATTAGCCATTCTTTAAACTTGAGTTTTTTATTTGTGTCGAAAATTGCTTGAAAGAATCTAATGATTTAAGGACAATGTTCAACCTGCCTCACGATATGTCAGTTAGATTACAAATGGAGTAAATTATCATCAACAGAAAGCGAGATGGAAGTTAAAATAGGTTTTAAAAAATCCATAGGACATGAATTTTCTTGGAAGTAGGATTGTAGCGACGAAAAAGATCCCTATTAATCCAGCTTAGTAAAGGATGCTCACTCCAGCTGAAAGATAGTGCTCGAAAGACTTTGGTGGTGGTAATGAAGTCGTGTTTGTCTGCCGTATCGTTACCGAATTGTTATTTTAAATAAAATCCCCTGGTGAGTGAGTAATCACGAAACAGGCATAACGTTTGCATAAATCTGTACCACTGTCCACATTTAGCAGCCGTGATAGTGCCACTGTTGCTATGCAGGGCCTGAAGTGGCAACTGAGAGCGGAAATTGCCTAACGCGATTCCTTGTCGTCTCACTTTGCTCTGTTGTTCATCTGGTCTTGCTGCTCTGGACGACTTACGTCCGCCTTTATGGCTTCTTTTACGGCACTTGTTGCTTGCTCTACGATGTTAAGAAACGGGCCGTATGGTGGTAGTTTTTTAGGCTCAGAATCAGGACCAGTAATGGCAGGATTGTTGTAGGCTAGTGCGCCTTCGCAATTGATTTTCTATTCCTGTTAATGATTAACCATTGCGCGAGATTGAAAGTATATTTGCTATGTTTGATCGTCCAAAGGTGCAATTGTTCATCCGTTAATGCTATTGAGAGTTAACAGGTATGCAAATATCGTTATTGGAAGTTCGTTATTGAGTTAATGACGTTCATGCAAGTGCTGATGAAAGAATATTTGCCGCATAGTTTCAAATGTTGACTTAAATAAATTTATATTTTGCGTAAATGAACAGTAAAAAAAAGAAAAAGTCGTAACAACTCGTCCGAAAGTTCCAGTTTCATAAAGTCTTATTTCAATCAGAACTTGATGCACTGGCGTCAGTGGAAGCCTCCCTTTGGACTGATTAATACAGTAAGCGGCGTGTAAGTATTATTAAAGCATTGAGCATAATACCGTCATGATGGCTAAACTTCTTGCTAAACTTCTTAAAAAGAACTCTCTTGATATTACATTTCAAAAGACCCGGTGCATAGTTTTGGCCCAATGCCATGTTTCAGGGGGGACGCTCAAAGAACCTTACGCGAGGAAACATGTTTTGATATCGGTGAAGAATTCGGATAAATGAAAAGAGAGTAAACTTACCAAGTTATATGCAAGAAATCAGCCAAAAAACGGATATCATGGTCATCTCTACGGCTTTCGCATTTCTCATTTGCGTGCTTGAGGAATCTTTTGTTTTCGTCACATGATTTAGTCTTTGTAGCGCAGGTGGACCGGGAAGAGGAGCACCGCGGAACACTATGTTTATAAGTACGAGATCACCATAATTAGTTAGCGGTTATTACCTCCTTTTATCGGACAATTTGTTATTCAATATGTCGTGTGTTTTCCATAGTTAAAGCGTGAAAATATCGATAAC